TACCTTGCAAAGGCTTGGCAGCCCGCTGGAAGAAGTTCTGCTCGTTGAACAAGCGCCCATCCTTGGCGTCCTAGTTGGGGACAGAGGGGGAGAAGTCTGTCATACTGGAATCTCTTAGACGAGGGCTCCCAGGTGATCACTGGCCATGTGTTACCCCAGGGTAATACCAGCAAAACCCAGGTTCTCCATCGGATCCTGCATATCAGAATCAAATTCCCTAGGGTGCTGCACCAGAATACGTATCAGAGACCTCAAGTTGCCCCCTACTGCCCAGGTTCCTTTTCTTTCTTTTATGATAGGATCCGTAAGTTTTCCTTAGACATGTGGCCTTCAGCTAGAGACTACATTTCTCACTCTCCCTTGCAGTGAGGAATGACTGACCGCATGATGAGTTCCGGCCAATGGGCTGTGAGCAGAAGAGATGTGGGCAACTTCCAGGTTGTTTGTTGCCTTAATGGGCTGGGGCAGGCCCGCCCCTTCCTCTGCTCAGTGAAGGATGCGACATGCTCGGCTGGTTGCTCTCACTTTCTCAATTTATTTTTCCCTTGGGCCCCCCTCAAGTGCACGTTTCCTGTATTCTAAGGTCAGGCGTGAGTTCACAGACTCCTCAGCACAGGGACCCCATCTGATTGGTTCTCTGTTGGACCCCGACACCCAGTGCAGTGATGTATTATAGTAGACGCTCAATAAACACATGCTACAAGGCAGGCGGGTGGTGGGTGAGTGGGTCCAGACTCGCTCCGTCTCACAGATGCGGGAAGCCAGGCCTGAGAGGGGAGGGCGCATGCCCGGATCACACGGCCGGAAAGCATTGAAGGCAGGACTTGGGGTGGGACTGAGGGCGGCTTTTGAAGAGCCCCGATAGCCCGCATCCCAGAGGGAGATATGCTGCACCCAAGGCCTGCTGCTTCGTGGGCGCAGGCCACAGTGGGGCTTGGCAATCGATGGGGCATTGGTCAAAGCCCCAGTGCCCCCCCAGCCCCCCTCGCCCCGCCACCACTCACTAGTTTAAGTGAGAATCTCTGTTTCTGGGAACTTGACACGCAGGCGGAGATGGGCTCAGCTGTGGATAGACAAAATGAGAAGCTGTTACCTATAGGCAAAGTGAGCATCATCGAACTTGCCAGAAATGAGCACTGGTTTCTGTTCAGGGTCAAGTAAATGCTGGGCTTTCAAGACCTGCTCCTCCCTGTTTTCAAACAGGTTCCTTCCCCCCCAAACCACCCGCCCCCACCTTCTGTTAATGCAAAATGGGTTATTAACAAAGAGGCCAAATCTGCTGTCCTGCCCCCAAGGCAGCCCGTGGCTGGCGTCGGCCAAC